ATAATTAAACGTCATTGTTTCAATATATCGTACATACATCTATCGATTAAAGTAATCTGACGAACACAATCTATAAGCAATTATTATTACATAATTACCAATAAACCGTATTTTGATAATGAATCTATACTTAATACTAAATATAGAAAGTATAAATGGATATGCAATTTCTATTTAAATAATAATAAATCTATAAAAAATTTCTATTTCAATCTGATGTATGCAAATAATAAAGATGACCTGCGTGTGACCCATGTGTTGCGACATGTGCTAACCAAGATGTTGCAGAGTGTTTCGACCGTATTAATAATTAAATACCATCTGTCATAGTGTCTTCATCCATGGAAACATATCGACAACTTAATTCGTGCGTTCAGAAAGAAATGATCGAAGAAAAAGAACTTCCCTTTCTCCCGGAGTAAGGTTGCTTCCTTCCGAATTCTCATCCACCATTCCCCGCCGTTCGAAGCGTTTGACGGAATTCTGGATCAAATCAGTCATTCGAGATCGCGCGCAGAATCTAGCCCGATGACTTTGACAGATTCCCCTAATTACCCGTCCGCATATCCGAGCGAAAGCAGAGCGGATAATCGCGCACGGAATCGTCGTAAATAATTTCTCTCCAGGCTCGACACGATGTTTAATAATAATATTGTTTAATACGGCTCTTTGAGGGGCAGCTTATTGACGAAAGGTGGTGCACGCCGTCGCTGGCACGAATTCACCGCGGGGAATGGCGTCATTATTCCACGACGCGTCGAAGCGGCCGTTTTTAATGAGATCCTACAATATTTAAGGCGACTCTCGAGAGATTTTACGCCATCGCGTTGTCACCGTGAAACACGTTGAACGTGTCACAACCGTGTCCGCTGACGATCGATGCGAGAGATATTTTCCCTCCGACGCTGCAGCGTCCCAAATACCGACGCCTTCGTCCGCGACGGCATTCGAAATCGTTTCGTCGAAACGACCGTCCGCTCGCAAATAACCGAACAACCACGCTATCGGACCAGTTTACTTCGAATTCGCACGCAGTGAGTCAAAATCACGAATATGTAACTATAAGGAAAGTCTGTGGTTTTGTTTTTTGAAATATTTTGCTAGCGATGATTCCAAAAAGTTTCCGCATTAATAATTTTGTTTGTGCTGCAATAATCGAAAAATTATAGAGAAAAGTTGCGAAATTGGGTTTGCTTATACAATTTTTTTTTTTTTTTAATAGAGGCTATACGTGCCATCGACTGCAAGGTCATTAGCGACGAGCATATTCCACATTTTGTGGTACATGTCTATCAAATAATCTATTCATAATATTTTATACGTGATTTTTAGATGTGGAGGCCAAGTTTGGGTTCAGTTTATATTTTCGTCTTTCTGTATCGTATCTTATTTTAGAGTGGCCCGTTCTAAGTTTGGTTATGATTATTCTTTTCTGCTCAAGTTGTGCGGTATAATTTTTTTAATATTAACGATATAATAAAATTTTCAGTGGCTAAAGATTCTTTGATCATCATGCATAAAATTACAATGAAAAACATTTTTTAATTTACGAAAAAATATAAACAATGATGATTCAGAAAAGGAGCTCCAATTTCTTACATTGATCCCGTAGAGAATCTATTAACTCAATCACTACAGTATTCAACGAATCCTTCAAGTACATGGTTAATTTTGTCCAGAGCAAAGTCGAATATCTCACAACTTAATTAGTGTAATAGAACCTCATAATATGAATACGGTAAACTATGGTGTAAAACTGATCCCATGAATTTCAATTTTTCGAGCCAAGGTAGAACATACTCTAAATGTTGTAACCTAGTGTACATTTCGTGAGACTATAACAAAACAATTATCAACGTTGATACGCTTTTGCGACGATTTATTTAAATAATACATAATACTCTTTTACTAAATGTTTGCGATTGGCGCCGCTTCGCTACTTACTGTACGTCATCGCAAGCAAAAACAGATCAGTGGCATCGGTTCGTTCCAAGTCCCCGCATGATCAATACATATGTACAGACGAGTCCGCGTCTACAAGTCGGATTGATCGTTAGAGGTACGTTTGATACATAACTAGAGGAATATCGAGGCTCAGAGGAGAATCGAGGACGATGGATGTCTAGAGACGTAACAAATTATCGGTTATTAATAACACGCTTAGTCTGCTCGTGCTTGGCCACGTTTCCGTCTCGCATCTTTCCTTGCGCGAGACGAGTTCGGTTAACCCCCTCGTGCCCATCGTATTGTTTTCGATACAAACCAGTTTCTGGCAATTTATACTACAAGTACGTTATCAACCGTTAGTTATCATTGCATGAATTCCAATAGAGCCTCCCGTATTCGCACTAATTGCGAGAGAAAAGTGATCGGATAAGGGAATTTTCAGATAATACAACAATCACATTTTTTAATACGAAATTTAAATTTATTCAAATAGAAAAAATGTACAATTTGTGTCAGTATTTAAGAATCTCGTATTCCTTTACTGCTAAATCACATAACTTCTTCAACTTGAGTGACTGTGGATAGAGTTACATTCTTTTTGTACTTCACATCACTGTAGCTCCTTCACAAATGCCACGAATGCTTCGGCACATCCTCGTCATTAGTTTTGTTTACTTTACCAGCCGTTGAAAAATTTATGTTTTTATTTTATATATTCATTAATTTATTCATTAATTAGAAAAAAAATGTTTACATAGTTCGGTTAATGGGGGCTCTACTAAACTTGTTAAGATCGGTATACAGACGATTTTTTAAACTGATGATAAATCAATCTTGAAACTAATCTGCAAGATATATTTTATTTTCGCAATCTCATTATACCTGTCACAAAATAGATTGACGAGCACTAGAAAAAGAAAATAATATTGACTGCGTCTTGACGTGTGTACGGTCATCTACAGGGTGGTCATCTTCTTGTATGACTTTTTTCTGTTTCTACATTAAACGACGCCCTTTTCTTTGAAAAAAATGTTGAATGTCAATTTTAATACGTTTTAATTATTGAAGAATTAGTCTTCTCTAACGTTAGTTCAATTTCTCTATAAATATTACTACAAATGTCATCGATTCTCATGATTTCTATGTTGATTCGCGGTACAACCACAGTTTATAAATCTAATAATAACTTCAGTAATCAAACATGAGTTCGAAGGACGTTCAAATATCAACGATAAACGACTTTTTTCAAATAAAAACATGTTAAATACAATATAATCTCACATTATTTTTAATCTAACGGTTACTGGCACTTAGTGGTACCATCATCTTGGAAATCTCGTTTAACATTGGAGAAAGTGATCACCTCTATTTTTCAGGTGCAATAGTTAAATCCCATTTTAAATACTGAGATGATCCTCCTTCACCTGTATCTATCAGGAAATTCTGAACTCCAAACGGAAGCAAGCCGACTACGGAATTACTTTTTTTGGAATTGCAAGAGTAATTTGTCTTTTATACACCAGGAAGTTTTAAGAGCAACGGAGCTGACCAACCAGAGTCCCGTATTCGAAAGCTACAGATGGGCAGGTAAGAATGCCAAACGATTAAATCGGCGTTTTCGAGCTCGATCGACTTTTTGACGCGTTCGATATGGGCACCGCGCGTAATTTAAATACTCGATGATTGATGGCGCAGTCTAGTTGGATAATGGTCACCTACGTACGCGATTTACATCTCGCCGGTTTTCAGGCACGTCTGTCAAGGTCAGAGTTCCAAGCACTCGGCAACGAATCGATTAATAATGCCTCGTCGGCTGTGCCGGTCTTAACGCGTACGCTATTCCTTCCCTCTCTATATATAGAGCTAGAAACCGATGAGGATCACGGATGAACAAGGCTGCCGCTGCGAGACGGTGCTTGCTTTGATTTCGCCGCCGGAAGACCTACACCTTCGATCGCGTGCAGGTGTCTGATGGACCTATGGTTCATTTTCCATGGATATGACGAGACGTTGGTGACGACACTTTCGGTGGAATTAACATGTGACTTCCACGCAGGTTTTCCATGGCCTCGACGCTTGCTTAACTCCGTGGACTGCACGTGCTACGCAAGTCGAAAGCTTTTTTGTTCCAGAATTGAAAATGTACGCGTTGACACTCGAGACTCTTCGCAAGATGTGACAGAACAAATTTTACAAGCTTTTTGTATTCTCTATCAAACGTGTAAAGAAATGTCTGTTGACACATTTTCTAAGGAATATTCCACTCACGAAAACTAAATAAAAAATACCGAAAGAATTGAGTATATACTAAATAAAAGCAAAGCAAACTGTCTGAGAATGTAAGCAATATTTTGTTGCATTTCACAACTCATAATGTTTAAAGTTCCTGTATATGTATATAATTTTACAAAAACGATTAACCTCATATGTGGTTAGGTCATAAAGTTCTTTGCGCATTTCCATGCGACACCTCTGACTCGTGCTTTTCATATTCACACGTTATCGTAGACTAATATGTTAATAAACAATATAATTGTCTAGGATGTTTCTAGAGTCTGGACACAGGAAATATTATATCAGCTAATAAATGTCACACTTGGAAAATTTTCCTTATTTCCTGTGTCCAAACTTTAGGGACATCCTGTGTATGTACATCTGTATATCATCTGTTAATAAGCAGAATTATTGTTCCCTGAAAATATCTACAAAAAGAATTCTTGGTTCGCTGGTCACGCGTATATCGAAACATTTGTCAGCGCAGGAGATTAACCCATTCACGGCCAGACAAATTTAAAGCGTTTTGTCTTGGGCGCCAAGATTTAATACAGATCTGTAATCTAGGTTATTATTTTATTAATACAAAGTGATATTAAATTTGTTGTTTTCAAACGAAAATTGACGATCTTCTTTTGCAATAATTCGTGACTAAAAATGCTAAGGTAATTTAGTCGTCCAACTGTTAGCTCTTTCTAATGAAACTGTCGCCGAGTGCAAAGTGATAACTGTGAGACTAAGTGTTAAGTTGAAAAATAAACCGAAATTGTTGTACTCACCGTTCTATACAGGTGGATCCAATTCTCGTTACCTGAGAACAAACAAAAATCCGCAGATTAGAAAGATTAGAAAGATACGTTAAAAGCTCTTAACTAGAAAATCCTTTATTCTAACAAACATGTTATCACGGTAGATATCGACAGGTGTAGAAGGAGGGGCAGCAGGAGGAATAATGAGCAAATTACAGCAATTTATTAATTTATGAGTGATGTCCACAGCGTTGCCGGCACATTCTATCCAGATAGGAAAATTTAGCATCAGTTATGAGTGATAAAAATGTCGTGCGTGGTTCGACCTAAAAGTTGAAAAGGTTGAAGTATTAAGAAATCGTAGACGGTAATAGCAACAAGGAATTGCAAGGTTACGGTGTCCTCTCGCGGAAGGGTATACGTTAAATATCGTGTCAGGGTCCCCTGAAACATTCATTAACGGGTGGCCAGCCGAGATCCACTTTCCTCGGTGCACCCTATTCGCAGAGGCAAACCACTCGAGCCCCTCCATCGTACGGGGGTCCCTTCTTACGTAATCCGTCTGTTAAAATATCAATCTCAACGTTTCACTCTTTGCACAGCATTCCGTGCAGGGGTGGCCCCGATCCTCACCCTCTTCACTGTCTGGACGAGGTCATCAAAGATGCAGCAGCAATCAGCGGAGCTAGTCGAGCGGACGGGCAAGCAGAGAACCGACAACCGACCTGGACCCCAGGGATGCACGCGGGATTTTCTTTGAGCATCTAAATCGATCCCTCCGCCGGAGGAAAATATATTCGGCCGTCGGCCAGCCCTTTCGGTCGCGAGCTTGCTCTCTGCGACGAAAACATTTCGAGCCCACGTGAATCCACGGTTGGACTCGACTCTGCAATTATGCCCTAACGACAGGGGGAAAATCCGCACTGACAGTTCCTTGAACGCGAATAGCTTCCTTGTTTACCTCCATAGCCTTCCTTTGGAACTTCTCTGGGATCGTTGATCTACAACATCTTATGTTGTTGACTGCTCGTGGGATATTAACCCTTTACATTGAAGAGATTCTGCTTCTATGGATAATTTTAAGCCTTTGCGGAGGGCGTATATATACGCCTTCGAGGAATAGGCTCAAAGGAATGTTTATATTCGGTAAATCAATTTTTAAAAAATATCAGCTTGTAGGGGATGATGAGTCGAAACACTTTTATATTTACAGTTTATTCATAGGATGCTTTGTTTCGAAAATAAAAATTGAAATGGACGTCTCAATGCTAACAACCAAAGAATATACTATTATAACTCTAACGTAATACAGTATTATCATTAATATAAGTTCTAATGTTAATGTATGTAAGTTAAAAAGAACATATATACCATCAGGTACAAATTGCGAGGTACACAACTGTATGCTGTTATTAACCTAACCTTGATCACATACTCTGGCGTACATACACAGTATTTAAAAAGAAAATCGTAGATTTGTTCCCAAAATTTGAGAGAATCGCATTTACCGATATGATTATTTTCGACGTTGATATAATACCATTAACATTCTCCTGTACAGTCTCGGTGCGATAGTCAAGCTATTGACACGGGACGTCTTACGTTTGTCACGTTGCTTGACTTCTCTAAAGCTTTCGACATGTTTGATCATGAACTGCTGATTACCAAACTCCAAGCTATTGGCTTGTCGTCACTGTCTACCTTGTGGTTATGTTCATACCTAACTAATCTCATACAGTAGGTGATGACCAACGTCAGTACTCCTCAATTCCCATCCGTTGGCTCGATTACGAATGGAGTACTGCAATGATCCATACAGAGCCACTTAGGGGCCCGTGCATCTCATCTTTTGCAAGCGTATTGTACGTTAAATGAAATCTCTGCTTACGTAATACGACTTATTTTTGGAAGAAAAAGTATTATTATTGCATATAATTCAGAATGTCGTTAAATTCATCAAGGTCCGCCTTATAGGTGACGTTGCTAATCGTTTGGTGAACAGTCTCCAATTATTCGAAAGCTTATTAATATCTAACTAACCGAACAGTAATACTTCTTCTTGTAGCAAAAATATCACCTTCTTTTTTTTATCTTTCTTGTACCACATTACATGATTTTTGTATACATTTGTATGTCTATAACTGATAGAATTCCTTGTTCCAAGTTGAAAAATCGGATTAATAGTCTTAAATCGAGGGTCGGAAAGAAATTTTATTCCAAGTAGTCTTTTTTTGTCTAAGAATTCATATCTTCCTTGAGGACACAGTCACAATGATATTAGACATTCTTTTAAGGCTTTCACATATTATAAATTATAAATTTAATTATATTTGCAAACATACTTCTGAAAAATCTTTAAAATATTATAAGACACAACATGAAGTTATTAAAATGTTTTAATCTATTAACAAACTAAAATCTAAGTATAGCTCCATAAAGTCTAAGGATTAATCTTCTAATAACTTCATCGATAAAATGCGTCAGGGCAAAAAGTAATTGTGCTGCTCTGTTTGATAAAAATTGCTGTTGCAATTATACTACCCAATTAATTCCAATATACCACCATGTTCATGATTTTTTTCGAGGTGGTACATAAGCAAAAAGCTATTTTGTGATGGATTCATATTTATTGAAGGGTAGTAATTATATTTGAATTCATTGACAGACTTTTAAAACAATTGGATACATGATTTACCTAAATTTTGCTTTCATTAATATACATGCCCTTATCAACGTACACAGTGGCAAATACTCGAGGCATTTTAGCTACCAATTATTCCAAAGTGTCAGCTTTGACTGTCTTCCATTTCTTTCACAGTATATCCCACAGATGATTTTTAGTCATAATTTATTCTTCTCCTTTTGTGGAGATCGTATACTGTTTTGTAGTAAATATCGTTGCCTGGGAAGTTATGAATATCGAATATTTCACGACAACTATGTATATGCTGATATAATTTGAATGAGAACAGTCATCCTTTACAATAATAGTGTGTCTTATATACATATGTATGACCATCATTAATTATGTTCGTCTTTCTTTGGAAAGGTTCCTAATGTAATGGCGTGTTGAAATTCATGGCCGGTAGTGTATAACAGTTCTTGCCTGGTGGTTCAATGAATTGCTAATGAATTTGTACTCCAAAATTTTTAATCCAAATTAATAATGCGAATTGCTCAAATATCACCGTCACACAGAAGCCGTCCGATCGAACCTCGTTGTGCTCGAGAACACCCCACGGGACGATTTACGGCGTCTTTAATAAATCCTTCGGAAGCCATCAAAGTACTAACGATGATCGGCTTTTCGATGGATTGGTAGTCATTAGTGGATCTTACTATGTATCTGTACGAAATATTTCAATCATTATTTCTATTCTTCTTGACATTACTTTGCCTTACAGAACACCTTAGTTTGCGTTATCGTGACTCTGTACATTACATTTTCGTTAGTGTTGCTTTTTGTACACGTCTGTTGTACGCTAGGATACCTCAGGGTTGGTAAGGCTGTACTGTAGCTGCGTATGCGCATGTTGCAGCCCCCGAGGGCGCACCTTATGATTTCCACCAAAAATCGTCCCCCAGTCAAAGGGTTAACAGGCAACGTTCCGTCGCGCAGGGTCGTCGTTGAAATCACTGCCTGTCGCCACCCCCTCGATCGCTGGCACCCAATCCTCCCACCCTGCGAACGCCGCGGGAGGGGACGGGGTACGAGGGCAAGCGCTCTATTAAAAATGCAATATTCTCGTTAATCCGCACCGGTATGTGGTACCGGCTAATTAGCGAGTACGGAGGACAGGGATGCATACATACGCGCAACTCCCCGTTGTCATGCAAATACCTCATGGTGGCCGCATGAAACACGCCCATTCAACGTACGCTCGTGTGGACCGCGACCGCGCGCTCGCGGCCGTATGCCCATTATATTCGACACGTATTAATAACGAAACAAATATTGCTTATCGAATATTAAATTTTGTCGGTGTCTCTGGCATCGCGACGCATTGTGAAACACGAGATTCGAACCGTGAAATCGGATTTCGAATTGAATGTGCTTCTGTGGTGGGTGGTAACGTCGTATTATACGCCACCCTGTAGAAGGAAATTTGGAAATTCTTACGTCGACTTTGGATAATGATAACTAAACGCAAAGAGTTCTATAATGACGGATAGCATGATAGGACATATTATTTTTATATGATTGAATATTACGAATGCTTATTTACACAACTGTCGTCTGTTATTATTGCAAAACCTACTAGTTTATTATGGGAAAGTGTCTAAGAGCCAAAATACGATTTTTTAATTGTATATCAATTTTAAATAGATTGTAATCTGCACTTGTTGTAACAGGACTTATTACAGAAATGAGGATGTACCTTAAGATATGTCGTAGAACTTCTTTAACCACGTGAAAGGTCAAAAATGCAATCCCAATTTATTTTCTCTAATATCTCACCTTAAGGATAAACGTCTCTCATTCATATTAAAAAGTCTTATCACCCAAATGTAGGTGACACGACCTTTAACATTAAGACTACCATGCCAGTCAATTTTATCCATGTATTTTAAACTTATTCGTAAAATCATTCAAACTATTAACAGTAGTTTTACTACAATTTTTGGGGACAATTATCGTAACAGAGAATTAATATGATTGATAAATCAATATGCTCCACCTCCCTCTAATTACAAAAATATAATTGGATCCATGGTAGATATGTGTTGTCTCTAGTAGTATAATACCAAAGTACACGTTTCCGCAAACTTCTAATTTTTTCGTGTCCCTCGTTTTCCGCTAAAGGTGGTCCGCATTTTATAGACCATTATTGTCTAATGAGAATAAATACCTGGACACAGTGAAAAAAGTTCAAAATCACGATTTATCCGATAAGAGCATCGTCGTTCAAGGGTCCACGACAACCAATGAAAGAATCATCGTTTCACGATACTTCCAGGACATTCAGTAGATACGCGTGCAGCGGTGCTCGTACGTGGCTGCGAGGGACGGTTGAGTCCGGGGGTGGGTTATATCAATAAGCATCGAACGGCCACGGAGGAC